TGCTCACCGGTAAACACACAAACACACAGAAAGCATTCGAAAATCACTGAGTCACAGGAAATTTCAGTGAAAAATTAAATTGATTCGTATCTGTTTTCTTATCATTAATTGTTGTCCAATTAAATACAGTAAATGATGTTCCATTTAAATTGGAAACATTCAGTTCAAAAGTGCACAATTAGTTTCTGCTTTGTTCAATATCATGAGCATTTAATGTAAAAACCCAAAAAAAGAAAGATCATTGCAAATTATTAAACTTGTGTTATGTTGCATGGTATCCCATGCGTTGTGTTGCATGGTATTCCACTTCGAAAACGATTCACTGCGCATCCAAGAGGCCGAGTGTTTTGTTTATACGGCGCGTACGTGCTCACCGGTAAACAGACGCGGTCACGTAAGCGGTGGACCAGTTCGCGCTTCAATCTCAATGAGAGAAAGAGAAGTATCGAGTTCAAAATCATTCCTCAGATTTGATAAGAAAAAATTCATCTTTCTCATTATTAGTTTCTACTACTCATGATGATTTTGCAGACGAAATTTCAAAATCATGAATTAATTTGTTGTATTCATGATTATTGAGGTGGCATCAAAGAAAAAAAAAATGCACCGCCAACAGAACGTCTGAAAATTTTAACAACTACGATTGTCAGCTATGAAATATGAGATATTAGACATCAGAAATGAGATATTATATTGTAGACATCACATACCAGCTATTAGATATGAGATATCATATGGTGGATATTCAACGTCAGATATCACATGGCGGGTATCCCCCCCCCATTCTGGCCCAAAATGGAGCCCCGAACATTACCACCGTGGGGCCGATAAAGAAGATTCCCCCCCGTTACCGACCGAGGGCCTAGCAGATTCCAGCATTGTCCCCCCCCCCCCGTCCAGCCCCGCACCACCCTGCAGATCCCTATATCCAGAACCGGCCTTGTTTATCTACTGAAAGGAAAAAGCCCTTGAATTTTGAATTCTACTCCCTTTTTTTGTACATGAAAAATATATAGTCAGTACTATTGTATAATATTCATTGAGTTTAGGAAATTGAATAAGTATTATGATCATTTCGGTATTTCATATTAGTTTCTTGCATCATTTATTCTCGTAGGTGCTACTTTTGCTGTGAAAAATGACAAAGAAAAATGATTTCACACGTCCGTATCAAATCATCAGATTTAATGATGAACGAACGACAGGCAAGGAAGTTCCAGCGGATATTACATGTCTTTCATGGTTGGATGAAGGTCATGAGAATTTATGCTCTCATTATCCACCAAAAAAAGACTGGCCGAGGATAGATATGTGGCTTCGTCAGGAACAGAAGCCTTTCGAAGATTGGATTAAGTATTCCAATGTAACTGTTTTAACAGAAGCAGGTAAAAAAACGCCTTACGTTTATGTCATTGTTGGTGTTTGAGATTTTTTTTACGTTGGGGAGGGGTATGAATGGTAGAAGTCTAATTTTTCGGACTAATGTACAGATACCTTGGAACAAGGGATCAGGCGCCTCCAACGTTCGTACAATCGTGAAAACCATTTGGGATCTTCTGATTCGGAGAACAGTAAGAGGAGTCAATCCATTCCAATATCAAAAGATAGTCAGAAAAATACTCATGAAAGCTCGATCGCTATTTAATAATTCCTTAATTCTCGAAGACGAAGGAGAACAAGGAAGTGGAAATGAGTCCAATAGTGAGTTGATTACAAAAGAACATTCAATCTTCCATAACTATCCAGAACGACCAATTGATGAACTCAGTAAAGACATGAAAAATTTTATAGAATTATTTTTATTGGAAAAAATATGTATTCTGTAATCAAAAAAGGTACTGGAAAACCAACAGAAGGAAGATCTGCAAATGAAAAAGACAGAGACGTGTCTCCCACGTTGGTATCAACCCCAGTATATTCACCAAAACCAACAAGATGTTCTACAAGTATGAATTGGACACCCCCCATCTCCCTAAGTTCTCTAAACTGCACAGGTATGAAAATATAGAAAAAAACTATTTCATTCATTAATTAATTTCATATGATGAATTCTCTGTGTACTCACCAACTTATTTTCATCCTGGTCTTCAAAAATAGGTGGAAATAACGGTAGTTTAACTCCTGAAAAAACAGAATTTTCAACACAAAAAGAAGTTGATTCTAATATAATTTCGCAAAAACGTTCTCCAAAAATTTCCTCTCAAGGTAAAGATCTATATTTTTTGCTGGCACTAAACTGTTAGGAAAAAAAATTATTTGGTGGATAGTCAACTCTCAATTCTCCGTACAATGAAACCTCGTCCCTGAATAGGACTTGAAAGAGCAAAAATGAGAAAATTTCAGGTGTCACTGTTTACTGAAAATTCAGTAAAATTCGAAAATTTTTAGGTACATGAAAACGAGGATTGTTTTGCTTCGTCGATTGTTGATCTCTTTATATTTCCAGTCATATATGAATATTCACTGTCAAATCCCATTCAATTTTGAGTAAAGCATGAAATTTCATGATGTTGCTCTCCCTCAATTGCGTTTATTATGATTCCCCTCTAGATTAAAGAATAAATTCACAGTTCTGCTTAATTTCTTCACGAAATTCCGAATTTTCAATGAGACGATTTCTTGATATTATAGTCGATGGTAATACGATGGACATTTTGTGAATAGCTTGGAAAATTCAAGAAAAATTATTCTGCGGTGTATCATGGATTATATTTTTTAAGAATACTGGAGAATATATTAGCCTTAAATGGCAGTTAAGATTAACTTGAAACATGATTTGCTTTCAACCAGAAGACTCATGAATTCCAGAAAAAAAAAATATATATTTTCTGACAATGATGAAAATACCAGCAAAGAGGAAATTCGTAAAACGAATGATCTTTCCAACAATTCTGGAAGCGAGACACCTGTGAAGAAATCTACCCTGAAGAAGGGAAAAGATTTGGGTAAAAGTATTCGTAGTAGGATCACTAGAGACAATGTGGACAGTAATGCAGAAACTATTTCAACAACACCATCTCTGAAACGTAGAAATTATATGAATATATATATTTATTTATATTATTTTTATTTTTCAAAAATAACTATTAGGATAAATTATGGATTATGCTGGGAACGAAAAATAATTGAGTTCTTTGTTTGGTAGGCAAAAAAAAAGGAGCCAGAGGTAATAGCAGCTACGAACGAAGGAGTGAAAGTTCTGTTGAATTAGAGTCTCCACAACGATGTGACACTCAAAATTCTCGAAGAGAATCTCACACGCTCGAAGCAGTGAGAACAACTAAAACAACTAGAACATCCAGAGTAAATAACCCAAAGTATTCAAGTGAAGGTATATTCCTTTGGGAAACATGAAATGTTTTTTGCTGCCCTCCTCATTGGGTATCGACGACTGTTTACTGAAACTTCAATTTTTCCCAGGGAGACATCGATCCAGCAGGGATGATAATCAGTGCACAAAACATGTGAATGGAAAGAGACCAATATGTGCGGCTTCCTCTGAGCGATTTACTCAAGATCCGAGGAACAGTCAGTCAAATACTCACCCTCAAAGTACGTCGAAACACTACAAACCAAATTTGCGCACACAGGAACTAGCAGAAATATTTGATTGCATGAATCCTTCCATGACAGCTAGGTAATATGTTTCAGTTTTTACAGTGAGAGTCTTCTTCCAAAGAGTCAAGAGTCTTCTTCGCTCATAAGTGAGATTTTGAAAGTTACTCTTCTCGTGCAGAATCATGAAGATTTTTTACAATTCGAAAAATCACTTCAATTGACAAATGAAGGAACCAAAGATGAACATGGGAAAATCCTTGAGTATCCTGGAGAGCAAAAAATGACAGCATTGGCGTGTATTAGGCATCTTTTTCTATATGTATAATTGGAATATGGAAAACTAAAATGGAGTTAATATTTTAATAAGAACTTTCAAATGTAGGTTGCAATGTTTCGAAGTTGGGTGGGTTTCGACGACACATGAAAAGACTGTGCGAAAAAATGTATCAATCGTACTCTCAGTAAGGAGGTTCAAAAATCTTATAACGGCCAAGGGAGGAAAACAACTATCAGTGCAAGAGAATCGTTCAACACAACGGCCACGTATGAATGCTTGAGAGGTGAGAGTTATCTCATCGATAATCGTACTGGTCAGGTGGAAGCAATGTTTCAATGTCTTTTTATTTACAGATTTTTTGCTCAAGAAATTCCCTTCGATGGAAATGAACATCATCTAATATGTTGGGAATCATTTGTCGCAGGCAGGACATGCGCCCAAAAATGATTGATTTCGTTCAGAGTAAAAAATAACTAGGGTAAAAAAGGTTTTTTGTATTAACTCATATTTTTGTTCCTAAAAAATCGTTTGAACAATAAATAAAATGGTTTAACAGAAATATTTATTAATTGAGGTTTGACTTTGATAGCACCCTAAGAATGAAGGTCGTTGGAGTCTCGATTACAGACTTCAGATCGAGACTCGAGGCCTCAAAGCTGATCCAGTCACACTGAGGAGGGCTCGGTCGAAACTTAGAATTCAGCACTTGATCGAGACTCTCGATTCAATGCTCGATCGAGTCTCTTGATTCAATGCTCGATCCAGACTCGAAGCCTCAGTCTCGGAACTTAGTGACATTTCCATGGTCATTCAGCCTTGTTTCCATCGTGTGAATCGATACTTGATCAGCCGTGATCAATCCTGGACCAAGCCTGATACAATGTTCCATCCATTGTTGGTTCTCACCTGGGACATGTTTATTTATCCGCGATCCCAGATATGCTGGCTCATTTCAGACTTTAATTATCGTTCGATATAATCTCTGACCCGTTGTTGTGTAATCCTTCATTCAAATATGAGGATTAGTCCACTTTCGGTATTTAATTACTTGGCGGGGCTGTTCTAGACATTTACCGACGAAAATAGTATTGATTTTGTTCATAATAATAACAATCGGGGTTAAAAATATATTGTAAACTTGATCATTTTTCTCAAATTTATTCAGCACATTTTTACGGATCATTTCGAAAACTTTGTTCACGTTATTATGCTCATAAGTATGTTACTTTTTGAACACAATTTTTTTTTAATATACAAACAAATTATGTATATTATAGTTCAGAGTATTGAACTATTCAAATACGCAATAAAATGTATCAATCGATGTTAAGTTTCTTGAAACTTCCCTCTACTCCGAATAAATCAGTAGCAGTCTTCTGCTTTCCAGAACGTAGGGCCTCGTTGACTCGCATGGTCTGTTCGTCTTCCAAAAACCATTCACGATTGGACTCTAATTTTTTAATATTTCTCTCGTGAAGTGTCATCACATCACCACTTTTACCTCCTGATTCATTAGGGAGAAGATCCAAAGGAAAGAACTTCGCGACTGTGTCATTGTTTGTGTGAATATGAAGCTGGAACAGACGTGAACAATATAATTATGAGATTTAATTCCTCAATTGTAATTTCTGATATTCAGATTTACGTGATAAGTTATAATTTATGTTTCCAGAAGGAAATTATCAACTCAATAATTTCTGTGTAAGTCCGTGCAAATTTTTCGTTCGTCCAATTTTTATTCCCTACCTTTTCCCTAACCGGACCCTTCTTATAATCTCCGATTTAAACGGCTCAGGGAGAGCAAAGTGGAGGAGATTTTTCAATCAAAATAAATAGACCAAGATAAACATCTAACAAAACAGTTTTTTCGTTTACTCATTAAATTAGCCCTGCTACTGTCATATATTGACATTATCATAAAATTTCTGATTTTCATAGGTTAGAATCAGTAAATTTGGGAAGTGTATGAGTACGAAACTTCTAATGGGAAACCAAAAGAATACTATTAATAACGAATGATAGGATAGGAAGAACGGTAGAGAGTAAATCATTAGTCTTACGATGTCCAATAATTCCTTTTTCATGAACGGTTTCATCATGGCCAGGATGACTTCCATAACTGGTGAGGAATGAATGAAATGGAGGCCCTTAAGGCGAACCGGGAGTGCGTCCTGTAAAAACGTGAGATATTTTTTGAAACCCAATGGACTCAAACGACCTGCGTGTCCAAAAGTTACTCCTGTGATGTCCACGACAAAGAGATGCCCCTTCATAGTTGCCTTCTCGCGGATCCATAAGTCAGTAACCATGTTCCATAATTTCATAGTGTCGTTCCAAGTGTAATGTGAAGGGTCGAAGTCTATAAGACGCCCGTAGACTATTTCGTAACCTTCCGGAGTTTTTCCATCAAGTTGCATATATGCTCTGTCAAACATAATTAGTTTTTATTGTTTCGTTCATACATGGAACAATTACGATATTATTCCTACTTTGATTTCCAAAGACGACTTTCGACTTCTAATCATTTCATCATGATTCCTTCCGAGTTTTTACGAATCCAATCTTATCCCTATGGGATTATGTGTAAAGCGGCCAATTCACTCCATGAAATCCAAAAAGGCGAATCACGCAGTTAAAAGCTACTACCTTCGATTGTCTTCGAACTTTGGAAAAACGATTATAGTGCTTCGGAAGCCATTCACAGGGGTGACAGAATTATCTATCGAAAACAATCAGGGAAGCAATGAAATTATAAAGTATCTTTTTCTCACACTGTTCTTTGGGTTATTGAGGGCCACAACGAGGACGTTTTCTGGTACGTTCACAGAACGTGGACATACGAAGAAATGAATAATTAGATACTCGCAAATAGATTCATCAGTCAACACTGTTGAACGCCACCCCAGCAATGACCATCAGTGACTGATCACAGCGAATGGAATGTCCTCGCTACCCATCTATAGCTCTTCAATCTAAACCAACATGAATCACGCATGCATTGTGTTAACAGAGAAAGCAGTGACGAAACGGGAATGCCATCGCTAAGGCTAAGTCATCGCGAGGTACTGAACGACCAGTTCAGAACTATCGTACAACCCATTTTCTCAAAACCTCCTGTGGTAAATTAATTGACATATATTATTAAATTGTACCATTTCTTTTCCCGATACTTTTTCTTTTATATCTCTTTGGAATTTTCTAAGAAGCTGTATTGTTTAGCGGAATATTCAAAAAGAAGTGCGATGGAGCTACAGTAACTTCTGGATGAAAGTTATTCTCAGATATACGTATTATCGATGATGCAATATTTATTAAAGAAATGAGAAATATATGGCGCAATGTATGAAAAATTTTCGAGAAGTACTAGTAATTTGTCATTCGCAGTGATCAGATGAAAAGTTAAAACTCACGCAGTGTTGAATGCCTGACGAAGTTCCTTCACTGCAAACGGATCTCGATTATTGAAATATTCAGGTAGATGAGTTCGAAGTGTATAATAGTTTTCAATTGTGGTCTTTGTTGGTTCCAGTCGATAATAGTTACTGTGTAAGAATACCGCTAGATCAGTGTCTGAAATGTTCGGCGAATGTGACTGTTTCGAACACCATTCTCGTAAGGATTGAATATCAGACTCTTCGAGTTCCTGTTCACGCACCAAGAGATCTTCAAACAATACTGGATGTATTACTGCCATTTTTTAACCTTTTTTCTTGTCGATATTGTGTATTGGATTGAGTAATTATTTTAATGGTCAGTAGATTTCATCCAGAAATCAGTCGCAATTAACTACAAATGTTTCACACCATTAATGATCGTTGTACACTGCCGATTCTTCATGCCTTATGTAGGTTATTATTCTCGCTACATGTAATAGGAGTTTCTATCTCGTATTCATTGCTGTCTGGATTTAGTGAATATCTTGAACGTGTCAGAGTTCTAAGTGAACACTTCATGTATACCCAGGTAGGATATTTCCAAGCCCTCTTTGCATTATATATATTCGCTTTGTCCAAGCTTGTACCTGTTAAGACCATCGTCAATCGAGAGTAGGAAATTGCCATGACTTTGCATTATGAAATGATGTGGCAACTATGACTAGTGGAGTTATTGATACGTATTCCATCCTATTATCATGCCTCTTTCACCAAAGTTAAGTATATCTCCTTAGTCTTCAGTAATTAACGATGTTGAATCAGTCCAAAGTTTAAGGAGTGTCTTATATGTTAGGGGGTAGAAGACAATATACCAATTTACGCAAAACTTTATTCTAGGTACTTCCATGGCTTTGGAAAAGATGTAAAAAATTTCAGGGGAGTCGCTAGCACCGTTAATTAATCATTTTGTTTCTATAATCAATCTTTATTATTTTATTATATATTTCTTTATTATATATTTTTATATTATATAATTACTTTATTAACTTTATTATATTTTTTACCCCCGACCTTATACAGAAATTTACAAAAGCTTAATGCGTTAGTTAAAAGCTTACTTATAATTAACAACTTTGCCGATAAACGATATATTTTGCGGCCAATTACAATTTTTGGAGTCAATACCGGAAGAATAATGTTTGTCGCTGATTTTGATCATACACTGATCATTGACAATTTACTTTTAATCATTAATTTTTTACTATTAATGTGTAATGATACTGTAGTCATGTCATATGAGTCATGGCTTCCAACTTGTGGCACAGAAACTTTCTACTGGCGAGGTTGTCGCTGTTACCCACCCAATATTAAGCTCTTACAATATTTTTGATATGTATATCATCGAACCTTTCAACGAAATTTATCTATCCCTATTAAAAAACCATAGCATAAGGGAAATAATGACTCTGAGAAATCGAGAAAGCTTCTTATAGCATCTAAAAATTTCACTTTTTTATAATCAGGGATTGGAATATTTCCGAAAATTCTAACGTTCCCTCTCCGCTCATGGCTCCCACAGCCTCCGCTGTGGTATCGGAAATAACTCCTTGAGTCGGTATTGGCAAAAGAAGATTTTTTCAGAAATTGCTATTACTCCGAAACCGCTCAACAGATTAAGCTGATTCGTATTAGCTCAAAATTTGGCTAATGACAGTAGCAATGAACAGCCGAAATTGTGATTGTTGTTATTATATAACTTCAATTTTGAAACAAAATGATGTCTACCTTAATGTATAAGTAATATTCAATACTTTGAATGACACGAAGACTCATTTTAGTTGCGACATCGTCTACGATAATTATATGTTGAAGATATCTAATTTGAAATTCTTGCTTAGTAATTGGCACACGATTTTCCTGCAGATCACATAATCACAGAAAGATTAAAAATTGATGAGTTAATGATGATAGGTGCATTCTGTCAAATATTTCCTCAAATGCATGGCGCTTATGAGTGTCCCATTAAAATGAATCATAATGGCTGACTTGATACAAATGCCAAAGAAACATAAAACATTTCGTATCCTTGAAATTACATACCAAGAATAATATGATTAATAATAATAGCATCGTTTAATTTTATCTCAAATTATGCAGACATAATTTCACAAAAGAAACAAAAAATAAAGAATAGAATTAAAATTGACGAGAATTAACATCGGCTATGGTCTTATCGAAACCTATATAACACATTTGCCGTATATCATGTTTGCCAATGCAAAATGTTTTTTTCTAATAATGTTACCGTCAGGTTGTAATAAACTAAATTGAAAAATTAAATTATGTGCGCGAGTCCCCGCCGGGTCATTTTCTCAGGTTTACCAAATCTTTAAGCATAAGAGTGATAGAGGACAATGCAAGTTGATCGGTTTATTTCAGGGTTCGGCAACCTTCAGGTAGTCGCGAACCCGCCTATTACAAGGGTCAGAATAATTCTCTCATCCTAATGGATACCCAATTAGCCAACCATTGTGTGCGAGTATGTCGCAGTGGTGACGATATTTTCGTTAGCCACGTAGAGTGGCGTGCGAGTCTAATGAAAAGGTTGACCCGCCAGAATTGGCACGAAATTTCAGTTTTTATTTTTAACTCTAAAATTGGAAAATGTGCAATTAAAAACATTGGAGATTATATTTCTGAAATGTTTTTCGGCAATTATTAATGGCATTTCAAATATTGCAACTCTAAATGTGAAAAATGAGAATGTGCCTCTGTTAATTTAGGAATATATTCCTCGAAATTCCATTGCACATTTTCATATTAGATTTTGAATTTGCTAATTTTGCAGAATCAAAACGAAAAATTAATTTTTTTATTCATAACATGAGGAATAAATGTTCACATTATTTTTCTGGTGGAGCTTACCTGCCAACTTGGAATTTCGGTTAAAGGATAGTATCTGAGACTAGAAATTTGTAGTATGAATAAAATAAATTGAGTAATTCAATTTTTGCTTTCGAATGGAAGCATTGCAATCGTCAGATTTTTCTACTCTTTAGTTTTGCCTGAAAATGGCGTAGACTGGTCTGAAACGTAAAAATATCAAGTTTGAGGGCCATGTGTGTATATACAGATGGTCAACTGAGGGTCAATTTTTACAAACGAAGAAGAATACCCAGGTAAATTAACTCCCGAAAATCTGAAATTTGGTCAATTCATTGGTGAATATGGACTTGATGTGTGTTAGATTTCAGACCGATCGGTCTCATTCGTAACTGCTAGAGCTTTTCCAGTCCTGTTCTCATCGTCAGCCCTTAGAATTCTTATTAGAGTTATATTTATTTTCCCAACAACTATTTATCTACGGATTATTTACTATATTTGGTAAAATTATCGCTCCCCCTCTGAATTTTGGACAATTGTTCTATTTTATTTATTGAATTGCTGCACATAAGGTCTGGACACAAAATAATTGTCAAGAGTGAGTCGCCATGAAAGCATTGAAAAAAATCTTGTGCCTGATATTGCTGCCTACTTAGAGCGAAAAATAGATATTTATATTTCAAATTTATGGAAAATTGAAAATTCCGATCGACCACAGGATCGCCCTCTGCCGCTATCGGTCGAACCAGGGCTCAAGGAGAAGGAAAAATCGAATTAGAGCAGATAGTTAGCTCCGGGAAGCGTCGTTCGTACTATCACCGCACTACACCGCTCGCAAGTCTACACGGTGGGGATAAACTTGGTTGCACGACCATACACGACACAAGTCTACACGACACAAGCCTACACAGAATGGCTCTCTACACGATCAGTACGGTCGGTCAAACAGCGTCGGTATAGAGGAAATTACCGTCATGGCTTACCGACCAAGTATAATTTGAGGTTGCTACATCATCGAAATGGTGGCGCTGCATGTTTTCCATTATGACTTCGTACAATATTCAATTCTCTCGAACTGCACCAAGAATTCTAACGGAAAAACGGATAATCCATACATGTTCTGAATTAACACACCAATATATCATTGAATGGTTCTATAGATACAATTATCTGATGAATGTGACTATACATGATTATCTAAATGAGCATAATTATGGGGAAAAATTATATGGGTTATTATGTAGAAGAAATTATAATAGAGATAGAAAATTATTTTTGTGATTTTCCAATATTTGTCATGTACTTGCCTCACAAACCGAACATAAAAATTGCCACATTGTTCAATGGAATGAATCTTGAAACATATTCATGTATCTGTAATTCGCATAAATTCGAAACAGTGCTTTTTTTATCATTACTCAGTCAAAAATAATTGAATTTGCGTTTTAAATTACGCATTTTTTTTTCTTTCTCAAAAAATGAAATAATTACAACAGCTATAATTCTCATGCAATAATTATTCCCTAAAAATGACGAAATGAGGTGAAAGCTCTGAATAAAAACGTTATACGTTGATCTGTGCGTAGAGAAATCGTTTCTGTGCTAAAAAAAAAGGGATACACATCATACTCATAATGAAGAAGGGAACAAAGCTAGGAGAACATGATTCCTAATCGGAGAGGGTCCGCTAATGATTATTTTGTAAGAAAGGTGATAATAAACTTAATAACTACCACGGAGATATACTTGACATCTGATCGATTTCATTGAAGTCTTGTCTCATAAAGAATTATTATCCAATTTTCATACAATTCAGAACTTTCTATAGCTTTCTTTTTTCTTATAAAAAAATCTATTTGCGTACTACCATTAGTAATTCGGCGTTCTTGATTTCACTCTTTCTCTGTCTCTCTCTCTCTCTCTCATTGCAAATATCCTTTAAAAATCCCATTTTTGAGTAACCACTAAACAAAACTTTTCCTTGACGTAAGGTTTTTACAAGAAAATTTGTTTTGGTTTTTAGGCATGAAAAATATAACTTCCCACGTAAATCTGCCCTTTTTATACTCTGTTCCATGTATAAACTCCCTTATCCGATATCGTTTCTCCATTGATAATACCACCATTTAATAATATTACTATATATAGGAGATTCCTCTCCACCAGCCCCGGATATCCCCACGCTCATGTATCATCCGCCCCCCC